TACCACATATATGCATTGGCATGATAATATTATTGTGACAAGTGGGGTATTCACCTGGTGTTTCCAGAAGATAGACGTAGATGCAGCCAAAATTAACCGAAGGCCACTTTTGAGGGTCGTAATTCCATACATTGTACATCCAACAACCCACACAGCTCTAGTTTACGCTGGTAACGACCTAGAGCACACCCCTCAAGTCCAGAGATGTAATCCGAAGACATGCAGCGATTTCTTCGGTCGTTAATTCAGAAAAAAAACCTAGTGCGCACTGCCTGGCTACATTAGCTAGCTGTTTATATTAGCATTGCCAAGATTTTTGCACCTCCAGAAAAATGGCATCTTTATAAAAAAATATATGGCGTGCGTTGCATTGTGGGTAGCTGTGACGTCACTGTGTGTGAAAGAATGAAGGTGTGCCGCGGAAATAATCTTTTGAATAATTTGTGACCAAACCGTTTGAGACCCACTGAGATAACTTAGACTAAAGTTAACTATCTAAACACTCAGAGAGTCCTTTAGCTCACCTGAGCCTCTCAGTCTGAGAGGAGAGGACTCTCCTCCAGCTTGTTGTGGAACCAACAGCTCCGTATGTCCGTTAGTGCAGCTAGCTAACCAGATGCTAACAACACGGTCCCTGCTGCTGGCACTGGTCCCTCTCTCTCTCTCCCTCTCTCTCCCTCTCTCTCCCTCTCTCCCTCTCTCACACACACTAAATGCGCTATGTTCGCACACACACACACACACACACACACACACACACACAAACAGCCGAGTTTGAATGACACAAGCACACTTTTATTTCCATGCAACTCTCTGATTGGTCTGGTGTCTTGCCTCTGTTGCATTCACTGAACACGGGAAATTACAGTCCTGCCGTCCTCTCTAGTGTCTTGATGAGGTTCACGTAAAGCACGGTTAATGTATTATATTATTGAGGTAGAATTGTCCGGGGCTACAGAAAAAACATTCGGGGCAGGCCAAAATATTATTTTACCAACAATGTGGAATTTATTGGCTACATATTACACAGATTATGCACAGCGGGAGCAGCAATAACCGTCAAATAATAATTCAGGCAGGGGAGCTCCGCACCCCCTGCCTGCCGCTACGGGGTGCTGCAGCGCCCTCAGCACCCCCCTTCCCGCGCCCATGCATGATGTGCATTAATGTAATGCATAATGTTATTATGGGGTGGATAAAAGTCAGTGTCAGTGGGGGAGCCGGGCCTTGTTGATGAGGCCGGTAGCGGAGGGGAAGAAGCTGTTCAGGTGGAGAGAGGTTTTGGTCCTGATGGAGCGCAGCCTCCTGCCAGAGGGGAGGGGGGGTGAACAGCTTGTGTCCAGGGTGGGAGGGGTCGGCCACTATCTTCCCTGCCCGCCTCAGCGTCCTGGAGGCATGCAGGTGATGGAGGGATGGCAGATTGCAGCCGATCACCTTCTCTGCAGAGCGGATGACACGCTGCAGCCTGCCCTTATCCTTGGCTGTGGCTGCGGCGTACCAGATGGTGATGGAGGAGGTGAGGATGGACTCCATGATGGAGGTGTAGAAGTTCACCATCATCGTCTTTGGCAGGTTGAATTTCTTCAGCTGCCTCAGGAAGAACTTCCTCTGCTGGGCTTTTTGGTGAGGGAGCCGATGTTCTGCTCCCATTTGAGGTCCTGGGCGATGATGGTGCCCAGTAAGCGGAAAGACTCCACCGCAGTTACTGGGGAGTCAGTGTGACACTCACACAGAGTGATGGGGGGTCACACAGAGTGATGGGGAGTCACACAGAGCGATGGGGAGTCACACAGAGTGATGGGGGGTCACACAGAGTGATGGGGAGTCACACAGAGTGATGGGGGGTCACACAGAGTGATGGGGAGTCACACAGAGTGATGGGCTTACACTGGCTCCCTATAGAACACAGGATAGAATTTAAAATTCTTCTTCTCGCCTACAAAGCCCTTAATGGGCAGGAGCCATCTTACCTTAAAGAACTCATTATACCCTACTGTCCTACTAGGGCATTGCGTCTCTAAAAGTACAATGGGAGCCAGAGCCTTTTCTTATCAAGCTCCACATTTGTGGAATCAGCTTCCAGTTTGTGTTCGGGCGGCAGACACCCTATCCGTTTTTAAGAGTGCGCTTAAGACCTTCCTTTTTGATAAAGCTTATAGTTAGGGCTGATTAGATCCAGCCCCTAGTTTTGCTGATATAGGCTTAGTTTGTCGGGGGACATCTTACTTCTTCCTTCTCTCTGTCTATACCTGTGTACTCTCATGTTCCGATTAACCCAGCTTCCCCAAATGTCTTTCTTTTTGGTGTCTATATACGCCGGGATCCGGAGTCATGGATGATCCTGCGCTCCTCTGTCCTGGATCGCGAGCCCTGGATCTTGAGTCGTGGCTGTGGTCCTGGATCATAGGTCCTGGATGGATATCCTCGTGGATTCATCTTCCTATTATACACACATGCATTTCCAAACATTTGGACTACCTATGTTGCAAATGTATTATCTTTTCAATTTACACACGGCATCTATTGCACGTCTGTCCGTCCTGGGAGAGGGATCCCTCCTCTGTTGCTCTCCCTGAGGTTTCTCCCATTTTTCCCTTTAAAATGTGGGTTTTCTTCGGAAGTTTTTCCTTGTACGATGTGAGGGTCTAAGGACAGAGGGTGTCGTGTTGTCATACTGATATTTTGTACAAACTGTAAAGTCCACTGAGACAAATGTAACATTTGTGATATTGGGCTATATAAATAAACATTGATTGATTGATTGATTGATTGATGGGGGGTCACACAGAGTGATGGGGAGTCACACAGAGTGATGGGGGGTCACACAGAGTGATGGGGGGTCACACAGAGTGATGGGGGGTCACACAGAGTGATGGGGAGTCACACAGAGTGATGGGGGCGGGTGGGGCTGCATTCTTCCTAAAGTCCACAACCATCTCCACTGTCTTAAGTGCATTAAGCTCCAGGTGGTTGTCCCTGCACCAGGTCACCAGATGGTCGACCCCCACCCCCCTGTAGGCAGACTCGTCCCCACCAGAGATCAGTCCGATGAGGGTGTTGTCTGAACTTCAGGAGCTTGACAGACTGGTGACTGCAGGTGCAGCTGTTGGTGTACAGGGAGAAGAGCAGAGGGGAAAGAACTCGCAAAGGACTTCATAACCACAGAAGTCAAGGCGACGGGTCTGTAGTCATTTAACCCTGTGATCCTTGTTTTCCTCGTACATACAGTATGTGAACATATTTTATTCGAAAGCTTGTTACATACATTAGAAATGGTGGCTGGGTATCAAATCTCAAAACTTTTGGGGATATTATACGATACGATATTACTTTATTTGTCAGATCAAGTCTGAAATTTGACTTGCGTCACAGCAGCTCCATGTCCAACATCAACAGACAAATATCCAGACACAATACATGAAACACAAACAACAAACATTTAACATAACAGCACAATCAGTGAGAGAAAACATGCTCAAAGAGCCTTCAGCGTGCATTTGATCTGGGATTTAGCTCTGTGTTTACTGTGAGGATTGACTGATGCACAAAGGAGTGCTTCAGTCTGACTTTATTGAATGGTGGGATATCTCCGATTAGATGGTAGCAGTTCATATTCACTGTTCAGAACATGGTTTGGGTCAGAGATGATGTGGTTGGACAGCCTCACTAGGTTGATGAGTCATAGAGTCTCTGACAGGGTTGACCAACAATCTTTGAGCAGATCTTTAACAGGTGGAGCCGTTTTGATTTGAAAGCTGCTGACAAACATTTGTACCAGGTAGCGTTGCAGTACTGCAGAATAGACAGGATCATAGATGTAAAGAACAACAGAAGAATTTCTCTGCTCGCCCCAAAAGACCTAAGACGGCGGAGAAAATAAATTCTTTGTTTTGTCCTTTTGCTCAGATATTCAATGATCCTTCCATGACAGCAGATGGTCAATCATTACACCCAAGTGTTTTTATGAAACTCGCTGCTTGATTTCATCTGTACGGATGACAATGGGGACTTTATGGGAGTCAGATGGTGAGCCAAAAACAACAACAAGAGCATTGCTATCAGTCCACTCGACCACCTGATGTACAGCCTGTTGGTGCAGCTCAGGGTCGTCTGTGTTACTGAGCAGAGATATTATTGCAGTATCATCAGATTACTTAATGATGACATGATTTTGTGTGTTGGTACGACAATCATCAGTGTAGAGAGTAAAGAGCACAGCTGAACTCACGCAGCCCTGGCGGAGGGGGACACCTACATTGGTTGTGATGGCAGATGACAGGGTTTTGTTAACCTTCACAAGATGCTCTCTACTAGTGAGGAAAGCAGCATACCAGTAAATCAGGTATGGATTTACTTCCATTTTGGCCATTTTTGACCCCAAGATGTCTGCTTGTATTGTGTTGAATGCTGATGAGAAGTCTAGGAAGAGGGCTCTTGCTCGTGTTACGTTTATCTAAATGTTTAGTGATGCGAACCAGAGTGGCCACAGCGTCTTCCGTACCGCACCCTTGTTTATAGGCAAATTGGTATGGATCCAGTTTGTCTTGTGTTGTACTGATAAGAAATCGGAGCAGAATTATTTCTAGTGATTTCATAATCACTGAGGTGAGGGCTATTGGTCTGTAGTATTGTAGTATTATGGTTTCGAGCATTTCAGTGCACTTTGCAGAATTATCCAGTGACTCAAAACGGGTAAAGAACGTGTTTAGTTCGTTAGCAAAACAAAATTCATCGTTCGTCACAATAGGTTTAGCTGAGGATGACATGCCTGTCATGGTTTTCATGGTGTCCCATACCTTTTGGCTCTCTGTGTGCCAGTTTTGATTCCCTCATATTGATCAAAACATGTTTGTTTCTCTGTTCATCCAAAACTATCCGGTAGCAAAATATTCAAAAAATATTCGTAATCTTATTCTTTGACCAGTTCCTATTTTTTATTTTGAGTTTTATATAATGTATTTTATGTAGAAAAACACAGCTTCAACGTAAAGGACTGCAGGAAAACGTTTATTTCTTAAAGTTACAACAAAAAGAAAAAAAGACTGGACTCAGGTATTCTATCTACTAGTATAAAAGGACTTTTTCAGAACTGAAATATTTGAAGAGCCTTGCTGACAGCCAACTCTGAGATCCTCTGAAGCTTCCTCAGCAGGGTTCAGTTCTTGGTTCAGGCCCAGACATTGATCAGTCCATCACTCCCTGCTGACAGCACAGCCCCCCCCCCTGTGGTCGAAGGCCACGCTCTGCACGCTGTCCCTGTGTCCCGGCAGGCTGCTGGACACCAGAGAGTCCACCTCCACGACCCTGACCAGTCCATCGGAGCAGGCCACAGCCAGCGTCCTCCCTGACGGGCTGAACGCCACCTGGTTGGCAGCCCGGGGCCCGGCATCCACTGTGGCCATGGACACCGCAGGCTTCCTGATGTCCCACAGGTTGATGATGCCATAGGAGTCGCAGGATGCCACGGTGTGGCCCGCCATGCTGCAGGTGGAGTGGTTGCAGGGGTGCTGGTGTCCCTGGAAGATAGCAGTGCAGACCCCCAGCCTGGCATCCCACAGGGCCAGGGTTTTGTCGGCTGAGCAGGTGAGAAGGAGGTCGGAGAAGGGCAGGAAGCAGACACTGTTGACGGAGGCGGTGTGGCGGCGCAGGGTGAGGGTGCAGCGCTGGCTACTCAGGTCCCACAGCCGCGCCGTCCTGTCAGCATAGCAGGAAGCCAGGAAGTGACCACAGGAGTGGAAGCAGCAACCCCAAGTGGGCCGGCTGTGGCTCAGCGTCAACACACAGCCGCCGCCGCAAGAGAAGTCCCAAAGCCGCACCTGCAGGAAGAAACACCTGCAGAGTTAGGGGTTAGAAACACCTGCAGAGTTAGGGGATAGAAACACCTGCAGAGTTTGAGGTTAGAAACACCTGCAGAGTTAGGGGTTAGAAACACCTGAAGAGTTAGGGGTTAGAAACACCTGCAGAGTTAGGGTTAGAAACACCTGCAGAGTTAGAGGTTAGAAACACCTGCAGAGTTAGGGTTAGAAACACCTGCAGAGTTAGAGGTTAGAAACACCTGCAGAGTTAGGGGTTAGAAACACCTGAAGAGTTAGGGGTTAGAAACACCTGCAGAGTTAGGGGTTAGAAACACCTGGAGAGTTAGGGGTTAGAAACACCTGCAGAGTTAGGGTTAGAAACACCTGGAGAGTTAGGGGTTAGAAACACCTGCAGAGTTAGGGGTTAGAAACACCTGGAGAGTTAGGGGTTAGAAACACCTGGAGAGTTAGGGATTAGAAACACCTGCAGAGTTAAGGGTTAGAAACACCTGCAGAGTTAGAGGTTAGAAACACCTGCAGAGTTAGGGGTTAGAAACACCTGGAGAGTTAGGGGTTAGAAACACCTGCAGAGTTAGGGTTAGAAACACCTGGAGAGTTAGGGGTTAGAAACACCTGCAGAGTTAGGGTTAGAAACACCTGGAGAGTTAGGGGTTAGAAACACCTGCAGAGTTAGGGGTTAGAAACACCTGGAGAGTTAGGGGTTAGAAACACCTGGAGAGTTAGGGATTAGAAACACCTGCAGAGTTAGGGGTTAGAAACACCTGGAGAGTTAAGGGTTAGAAACACCTGGAGAGTTAGGGGTTAGAAACACCTGCAGAGTTAGGGGTTAGAAACACCTGCAGAGTTAGGGGTCAGAAACACCTGAGTTAGGGGATAGAAACACCTGCAGAGTTAGGGGATATAAACACCTGCAGAGTTAGGGGTCAGAAACACCAGAGTTAGGGGATAGAAACACCTGCAGAGTTAGGGGTCAGAAACACCTGGAGAGTTAGGGGTTAGAAACACCTGCAGAGTTAGGGGTTAGAAACACCTGCAGAGTTAGGGGTTAGAAACACCGGGAGAGTTAGGGGTCAGAAACACCGGGAGAGTTAGGGGTTAGAAACACCAGAGTTAGGGGTCAGAAACACCGGGAGAGTTAGGGGTTAGAAACACCTGGAGAGTTAGGGGTTAGAAACACCTGCAGAGTTAGGGGTCAGAAACACCGGGAGAGTTAGGGGTTAGAAACACCTGCAGAGTTAGGGGTCAGAAACACCGGGAGAGTTAGGGGTTAGAAACACCTGGAGAGTTAGGGGTTAGAAACACCTGCAGAGTTAGGGGTCAGAAACACCTGGAGAGTTAGGGGTTAGAAACACCTGCAGAGTTAGGGGTTAGAAACACCTGCAGAGTTAGGGGTTAGAAACACCTGGAGAGTTAGGGTTAGAAACACCTGCAGAGTTAGGGGTTAGAAACACCTGGAGAGTTAGGGTTAGAAACACCTGGAGAGTTAGGGGTTAGAAACACCTGGAGAGTTAGGGGTTAGAAACACCTGCAGAGTTAGGGGTCAGAAACACCGGGAGAGTTAGGGGTTAGAAACACCTGGAGAGTTAGGGGTTAGAAACACCTGCAGAGTTAGGGGTCAGAAACACCGGGAGAGTTAGGGGTTAGAAACACCTGCAGAGTTAGGGGTTAGAAACACCTGCAGAGTTAGGGGTTAGAAACACCTGGAGAGTTAGGGTTAGAAACACCTGCAGAGTTAGGGGTTAGAAACACCTGGAGAGTTAGGGTTAGAAACACCTGGAGAGTTAGGGTTAGAAACACCTGCAGAGTTAGGGGTTAGAAACACCTGCAGAGTTAGGGGTTAGAAACACCTGGAGAGTTAGGGTTAGAAACACCTGCAGAGTTAGGGGTTAGAAACACCTGCAGAGTTAGGGGTTAGAAACACCTGCAGAGTTAGGGGATAGAAACACCTGCAGAGTTAGGGGTTAGAAACACCTGCAGAGTTAGGGGTTAGAAACACCTGGAGAGTTAGGGTTAGAAACACCTGCAGAGTTAGGGGTTAGAAACAACCTGGAGAGTTAGGGTTAGAAACACCTGGAGAGTTAGGGTTAGAAACACCTGCAGAGTTAGGGGTTAGAAACACCTGCAGAGTTAGGGGTTAGAAACACCTGCAGAGTTAGGGTTAGAAACACCTGGAGAGTTAGGGGTTAGAAACACCTGCAGAGTTAGGGGTTAGAAACACCTGGAGAGTTAGGGGTTAGAAACACCTGCACAGTTAGGAGTTAGAAACACCTGGAGAGTTAGGGGTTAGAAACACCTGGAGAGTTAGGGGTTAGAAACACCTGGAGAGTTAGGGGTTAGAAACACCAGAGTTAGGGGATAGAAACACCTGGAGAGTTAGGAGTTAGAAACACCTGGAGAGTTAGGGGTTAGAAACACCAGAGTTAGGGGTCAGAAACACCTGGAGAGTTAGGGGTTAGAAACACCTGCAGAGTTAGGGGTCAGAAACACCTGCAGAGTTAGGGGTCAGAAACACCTGCAGAGTTAGGGGTAAGAAAAACCTGCAGAGTTAGGGGTTAGAAACACCAGAGTTAGGGGTAAGAAAAACCTGCAGAGTTAGGGGTCAGAAACACCTGCAGAGTTAGGGGTCAGAAACACCTGCAGAGTTAGGGGTAAGAAAAACCTGCAGAGTTAGGGTTAGAAACACCTGCAGAGTTAGGGGTCAGAAACACCTGGAGAGTTAGGGGTTAGAAACACCTGGAGAGTTAGGGGTTAGAAACACCTGCAGAGTTAGAGGTTAGAAACACCTGCAGAGTTAGGGGTTAGAAACACCTGGAGAGTTAGGGGTTAGAAACACCTGCAGAGTTAGGGGTTAGAAACACCTGGAGAGTTAGGGGTTAGAAACACCTGCAGAGTTAGGGGTTAGAAACACCTGGAGAGTTAGGGGTTAGAAACACCTGGAGAGTTATGGATTAGAAACACCTGCAGAGTTAAGGGTTAGAAACACCTGGAGAGTTAGGGGTTAGAAACACCTGGAGAGTTAGGGGATATAAACACCTGCAGAGTTAGGGGTTAGAAACACCTGCAAGAGTTAGGGGGTCAGAAACACCTGAGTTAGGGGATTAGAACACACCTGCAGAGTTAGGGGTTTAGAAACACCTGGAGAGTTAGGGGTTAGAAACACTTGGAGAGTTAGGGGTTAGAAACACCTGGAGAGTTAGGGTTTAGAAACACCTGGAGAGTTAGGGGTTAGAAACACCTGCAGAGTTAGGGGTTAGAAACACTTGGAGAGTTAGGGGTTAGAAACACCTGGAGAGTTAGGGGTTAGAAACACCTGCAGAGTTAGGGGTTAGAAACACCAGAGTTAGGGGATAGAAACACTTGCAGAGTTAGGGGTCAGAAACACCTGGAGAGTTAGGGGTTAGAAACACCTGCAGAGTTAGGGGTCAGAAACACCTGGAGAGTTAGGGGTTAGAAACACCTGCAGAGTTAGGGGTCAGAAACACCTGGAGAGTTAGGGGGTTAGAAAACACCTGCAGAGTTAGGGGAATACCAGTAGTACACCTGCAGAGTTAGGGGTTAGAACACACCTGCAGAGTTAGGGGTCAGAAACACCTGGAGAGTTTAGGGGTTAGAAAACACCTGCAGAGTTAGGGG